TCCTGATTTTTATATCCGTAGAGTAATATTTTTGTGTCTATCATATAAATAAAAGCCCAGGGTACACAGTTGATTTTGTGTGATTGATGTCTTGATTCATTTGAAATGATTAGGATATTGAATTATTTTTCTGTTATTTAAAATTTTAATAAATATTGATGCAACCTTTTATTTTTGGCAAAATGTTTGAACATGGATTTATTGGGTATTTTCTTCTCCTAGAATCTTTTTTTTTTTTAAGCCAGTATCATCAGGGACTCTTCTTACAGAGAAAAGCCACCTCCTGTTGGCAACACCCTTTTGGCAGGTTAAGTGGGAAAGTGACTTGTTCCTGAAAGTCAGTGGAATATTCTAGGCTCTTTTGACTGAGGTTCTGAGGGCTCTTGTGGAGAGCAGACACTTGCTGAGGGCTTACTACGCACCAGAGAGTGAGCTTAAGAGCATTGGTTTATGTCACCGCATTGCATCTTCATAGCTATTCTTGTCGCCACTCCTTTTGTAGATTAGAAAACCAAGGCTTAGCGTTGAAGTGACTTTGCCAGTTTCTAAATCAGTAGAGTCAGAAGGCTAAGTAGAGGTGCTGTGGAGCCACCAGCATGGGACTCTGGCTTCAGACTTCCTAGGTGCACACCCCCAAACTTAGCAATTGTGCCCCTTGGTGCTGTCAGTGTATGTAGGGCCTCTGGCAAGGTCCCAGCACAGGTAAGGGCCTGATCCGTGTTGGCTGTCACTGTTGGGTAGCATGCTACAGAACCACTGTACAACTCCATCTGGGCGCCCAAAGAGCATATTACCTAGTTGGGAAAATGCCACACCTTGCCATAAGAAATTAACACTTGAACTGGACAATATGGATCCAATGATGATCCTCTCATTGGATTCCTGGGAAGGGAAGGTGGGAGGGAAGAGTCATTGAGGGGTGTGGAGTGCAGGTGAGCCTTGAAGGATGCTGGGATTTGGGGCAGGCAAAGTGGTCAGAGTGCTGGATAGGAATAGAGGTGGCAAGGAGGGAAGATGGTGAAGTCTCCTTTTAAGGATAATAAGTAGATAATAAGTAGATCAACTCATGTCATTGTTGGTGAAGAGGGTGGAAAGATGGAGGCAAAGGACCTTGTGCCCATTTCCAAAACAGTGGGGAGTTTGCAAAAGTTTTTGAGTAAAGAAAGCAGAGTTTTGGGTACAGTGGTGTGCCTGTAGTCTCAGCTACTCAGGACACTGAGGCAGGAGGATCACTTGAGGCCAGGAGTTTGAGGCTGCTCTGAGCTATGATTGTGCCTGTGCGTAGCCACTGCATTCCAGCCTAGGCAATGTAGCAATGTAGCAAGAGCCTGTCTCAAAAAAAAAATTTTTTTTAAGTACTTGTTTGGTGCTTACCTATTGGGATAAAAAATAAACAAAAACAAGCAGAGTTTTAAGATTAGTGATAGTGGATGGAATCACAGAGTTTATACCTGTAGTAGCCGATGGGAAACAAGTGCCGCGATTCAAGCTTCTGTAGTAAGAAGCTATCATTATGCCCACTGATTATAGATGTTCTCCAATTGTTCTTTTGGGTCTTTTCTACCTAAGTAATAATGATAACAACAATAACACTTATATTCTTATCTTAACATTATCATTTTTATGACACATGAGAAAACCATGGTGTAGAGAGGTAAAGTACTATGCCCAAGGTCATAGCTAGGACAAGGCAGAAGCAGGATCCAGACCCAGGCAGTCCGGCTCCCAGCTCAGGCTGTGACTGCTATGTGGTATAATTTTCTTCTCTAATCTTTTCAAAAGAGCACCATAAGACTTTGATGCGCTTCTGGTGGAGTCTTGGTATACCTGACCGCAGGTGACCAATGATAATGCTCAAAGTAAGCACATATATACAACAATAGCTAGACAAGTGGTCAAGGCCTCCTTTTTAAAAATTAGTGCAGGGCTGAAATAGCTTGAGAAATGACTGCAGCATCAGAAGTACAATCATGTGCATTCTAAAAACGATCGGTGTTTATTCCTGGCTCCCTGTTTTAGTCTCATCACTAGAGATTCCCACTGATGCCCTGGCATAGCAGAATAAGACTGTTCAGCGGAGAAAATATTTGCATTCCACACATCTGATGAAGGGCTGATAACAAGAATCTATACAGAACTTAAGAAAATTAACAAGAAAAAATCGAACAACCCCATCAATAAATGGGCAAAGGACATGAACAGAAACTTTTCAAAAGAAGACAGAATAATGGCCAGCAAACATATAAAAAGTGCTCAACATCTCTAATCATTAGGGAAATGCAAATCAAAACCACAATGAGATATCACCTAACTCCAGTGAGAATGGCCTTTATCAAAAAGTCCCAAAACAAGAAATGCTGATGTGGATGTGAAGAGATAGGAATACTCTTACACTGCTGGTGGGACTGCAAATTAGTACAACCCCTGTGGAGAGTAATTTGGAGATATCTCAAAGAGCTAAAAATAGAAATACCCTTTGATCTAGCAATCCCACTACTAGGCATCTACCCAAAGGAAAAAAAGACATTGTGTAATAAAGACATCTACACTCGAATGTTTATGGCAGCACAATTCACAATTGCAAAGATGTGGAAACAACGCAAGTGTCCATTAATAAATGAGTGGATTAATAAAATGTGGGATATGTATACCATGGAATACTACTCAACTACAAAAAACAATGGTGAACTAGCACCTCTTATATTCTCCTGGATAGAGCTTGAGCCCATCCTTTGAAGTGAGGTATCCCAAGAATGGGAAAATCAAGCACCACATGTACTTGCCATCAAATTGGTACTAAGTGATCAACACTAAGGTGCTCACATGGTAGTAAGATTCACTGGGTGTTGGTCAGGTAGGAGGAGGGTAGTGGGGGTGGGTAAAATTACAACTAATGGGTGTGGAGTGCACTGTATGAGGGAAGGGCATGCTTGTAGCCCTGGCTTGGGTGAGGCAAAGACATTATATGTAACCAAAATGTTCGTACCCCCATAATACTTTGAAATAAAAAGAAATAAGCTATCAGTACTTCACCATTAAAGAAAAAAAAGAAGGTTCAGTGGTGATGACATCAGAGCCAGGTTGATAGTAAAAAATAAAAAAATAAAAACTGGTTGTCTGGATAAGGACGCCCTGCTATCTCTCCTTCCAGAGAGGGTTGACAAGAGGTTAACAATAAGATTCAAGCTGGGGAGTTTGGGGGAAGGTTGCCCCTGGCTATTATCTTCTGTGTTTTTTCTTCCTTGTACCATGGTCTGTTGGCCATCCCTCTCCTTAGCTGTGAGGTTTCATAGAGCAGAGACCTGGTTTTTCAAATATATGTACTTCTTCCATCAAGATACTTTTTGTTGTTGATGAAAAACCAGCATCATTCCAACAGTTATGCCTGTGTCACCAGAGATGAAGGTTTGATCCTGAGAGCAGGTGGAGATTTTCATCCAGAGTGCATGGGGTCATCCAGTTTAAAGCGTTTGGGTTCAGGGAGCAGGGCTATGACAGGATCAGGGAATTGTTCCTGCAGGAGTTGGAGGAGTGGCGGCAGGGCTGGCTGGACGATGACCTCTGGCCCCCAAGCCAAGGACTCCCCTCTCAACTGTTTTACTTCCTGCTATGAATTTTCAAAAGAAGTGTCAAGATAAAGGAAGGCTTTTGAAGTGTATTGTCAGCTTAGCATAGTGTGTGAAGGCAGGGCTTATGTCAGCAAACCAAAGCGCATATCATGGCTCTGCTGCCAACTATTTTTGTCATCTCAGGCAAAGCATTCCTCATCCCCATGAGCCTTGCTTTCCTCCATCTGTAAAGTGAAGATGGCAATGCCTCCCTCTCAGGATTGCTATGAGACGTACAGCAACAGAGATCATCTGGCTACAGCTGTGAGCTTGATATACAGACTGATCATTCAATAAATGGAGCTGCTACTAATGTCAAAGAGAACATACTAGAAAATAAAATGGGATGATGAAGATGGCAGAGTAATGAAATAAAGTTGGGGGAAAATAAAGGTTAGTAGCCAAATCAGATATATTAGAAGAAAAAAATAATACAGATCTGGAACAGGGAAAGTAGCAGGAAAAAAGTATAAGAACAACCCAGATAGGTAAAATAGGACACTAAATTTACCAAAGAGTGTACTAAAAAGAAAAGAATGTTAAATATGGTAGCAAAATGGAGTCCAAGAGCCAGCATCACATGCTTCAATAAATCAGATTCTTGCTCCCCCCCCTCCGCTAGTTGTCCAGGTTGCTGTAAATAGTCCTGAGAATGGAAGTCAAGGTAGATGTCCCCAGGATGGTGAGCAGAGCTTCATTACCCTCACCAGCGTTTTCCTCTCCATGGGAAAAAAAAGTGTAGTAGAGTCTCAGAAATAAAGGGTACCATGCACCAGTGTTTGAGAAATTCATAAACAAGGTTAAGTATTGTTTATTGTAGTGCTTCTCAGAGTCTTTCATATGTAACTGTGACACTCCAGGAGGGAGCCTGTAGTAGGTTATCGTTTTTAGGTATTGGAACTCTTTGATAGGGGGATTCTGGGGACAATATCATAGAAGTAGTGTTCCTTGGAACACCCTTGGGAAATGCTGCCCCCAGCTTCTTGTCCTTTGGCCCATAACAAATGCTACTTGACACTCCATACCAAAACATGCTGATTGTGTTCCTGATGCCTGGAATGTTCAATTTTCAGGTTTCAAAATACCTTCCTCCCCTTCTGTTCATTCAATTCTTAGCTCAGGTGTCCCTCCTCACAGAGGTCCTTCCTGACCACTTGATCCTTTCATTCTCCATCCCGAAGGATGTATCACTATTTGAAATATTTGAGAATTATTTAAATTTCTTACATTTTTATTGTCTATTTCTCCTATTAGAATGAAATTCATTCCATGAGAGTGTTGCTATGTCCCTATATCCCTGGCACTTAGAACAGGGTCTGGCATATAGTAGCGGCTCTGTTGAAGGAACAAATGAATGAATGAACACTGAACTTAAGCCTTTCGATTAAACAGGGTGGAAGATCACGATGACCTCATGCCAGTATTTATGCACTACGACACAACAGTTCTGAAGGAAACTTATGGCGAATACTTCCTGGCTGAACTAATAGAGGCCCAAGACGAAGAGAACCATGCTGTTGTGTGTGAGGTTGGTGACTGATCCACCAGGGGATACACTTAGTGAGAGAAATGAGAGAAATGAGTGATGCTGCTCCTGGTTTTGCAGAGCACCCCTAGAGCTACCATCCCCTCCCCATTCCCTGTCTCCTTCCCCTCCCCCACCCCTTCTGGGTGGCACACCAGGCCAGCTTCTCAGCCTTGGCATCACCCCTCTCCCCAGTGTTATTGGCTTTAGGCTTTCTTTTGTGAGGTCCTTTCAGACACCCAGGCTGCTGTAGAGTCTTTGCCCTATTCCTAGAGGTAGGGATTAGAGTTAGGGGAAAGGAAAAGATCCTCCAGGGATGTGTAAGGGGATTCCTGAGGATCCCGAGATCTAGACATCAGAGATCACAAGCCAGTGTTCTGCTGACAGATGGATTTTATTTGACTTGGAAAGTGATTAATTTGTTCAACTTTTTGTTTTGACATAGTTTCACACTTATAGAAAGTTTTTAAGTACCCAAATGTTAACATTTTACTCCATTGCTTTATCATTCACTTGCTTGCTTTCTCTAATTTATCTACACACACACACACACAAACACACACACATATAAATTATTTCTGAACCATTTGAGAGTAAGTTGCAGACATAATGCCCCTTTACCTCTAAATACTTGAGTGTGGCTGGGCGCGGTGGCTCATGCCTGTAATCCTAGCACTCTGGGAGGCCGAGGC